ATCCAAGTTTATCATTTGAGTGTATCATAAAGGGATAATTTCTATGTTAAAATTTAATCAGCATGAAACATTGATGCCTTAGTTTGAAATGAATAGACGGACAATAATTGTTTTAAAATAGGTCTGAAGAACACTGTTACTCTCATTGATATCATCAATGTGTTAACTTCATTGAAGTTGCCAACCAAAATTCCATAATTGAATAAAAAGTAATTTGTATTGAAGACATTATCAATATTTACTTTTCTTCTTGTCTAAATATAAAACAACCTATATTCTATGAAAGATGAAAATAACATAAAGAACTAAACTTGAATTTAACTAATTTAAAGAACATGGACCTTTGGCAAATTTATCTTCTTTGAGTAAATGGGATTACTAAATGAGAAGGTAAAAGCTAGTCATTAGTAAATAATCATTTCATTTTATCTTTAATTACCTATTATAATGTGTCAGCCATGAAGTAAATTATGCATATGTCAATATCCAGCATTATTAAAGGTAATGTTTCAATGGGAATCAGAAAACCTAGCTGTAGATATTACAGTATGTTCTACTTTCATATAGCATCTTTGTGTAGTGGTCATTCTAACACTGTACTTCTAGGCCTACCCACGCTTCTGAACTCAAGATCCATTTGTACCTGAATTTGAAATGTACTTCAAATTCTATAAAGGCTAACCTTAACAACCCTAAATGAATATATGTGTCTATATATCTCAGACTCTCACAATATTCTTCCAAGATAATACTGGTTTTCCTTTGCTATCTTTATTTTCATTTCCAGAATAATTTAGGCACTAGAAATTTTGGGAATGTTCCATCACCACAATGGATAAAATTTGATTAATCTTTGTATACTCAAAAATCAATTATTTCACCTTACTTATAAAATTAGCTGAACCATAAACTTATGAATATAGATATTCTTTTTCTCCATTATCTTGTTTAATTTTTGTTCAGATTAACTTGAAAAGATGGATAAAACAGTTTGTCTGAGTAGAGGCTTGATCTCCTGAGTTGCAAAATTTGTGCAAGAGGTTCCAATTAGCATCTGTATGAAAAATAACCAAATTAGGCATATACCTAGAGAGAAATTGCCACCAGTAAATGCTTTTTATCAATCCTGGATACATTATTATACAGTGTCATATTTGATTAAGTGTCTGAAGGTTCACTACAATAATATCTATTAACAGCAGTAATTACCTGAGTACTTCAAATACTTTACAACTGATCATACATACATTAAAAAACACCCAAGGCTCAAAGAGTAAAATCACTTATGAAGCAAATCATACATCCTGAGTTCAATATCTTGATCAGTCACTGGAAGGAGAGAACCCATATTCTAAAATGTTCTCTTTTGTTTCCTGCCCTCCTGTATGTGTGCTGTAACACATTTATGCCTGTCCTTGTATACACACACACACACACACACACACACACACACACACACACACAAACCACCACCACCATCATCATCATCATAACAATAATAATAGTAATAGCACCCTAATCCTTAAATCAGATGACTATTAATTAACAGGAACAAGTAGAACCATTAATTGAAAAATTGAGCTTAAATTATACTTCATACAAAACATTGTCATTAGAGTAGAAACTGAATAGTTTTGTATGCATTTAAACATACATACATACACATATATGACAGAAGTATCTTAGCAACATACACTAACTTGTTGCCAATAGTAATCTGTAATTAGTGGAAGTGGTTTTATAATTGTATTTTACATCTAATTTTCCAAATTGGACATTGCTATTGTAATAAGTAAAAGTACATATCCCTCTGCCAGAATTAATGGACACCTAGAAGAGAGTTATTATGCCTATGTGTGTATTAGCAAAAATGTTAGATTTTAGAGAGCTTAGTAATAAAATGTTAGGCTTAGAGAATTTAGACAACTATGGTGAATCAGTAAGTGCATATCATCAATAGGATTCAAATCCTCATTTTTATCATTGCATTTCTTTCATTTTTGGTCTCACAAATCCAATACTATCCCTGAACAAAAACAAAATACAATGATTAATCAGTTGTCCTATCTCCACATTATTAGTGCTATGAATCAGCATGGTCACTAATTTGAACCCTGCCTTATACAGTCTCCATCTTCCAACCTTGTCCCATGCTTGAACAATGAACATTTATCAATATTATCTCAAATTCATTTATGAATTAGGGCTGGAGAAGAAGACCTCTAATATCAAGTACTCAAGCACTGAAGCAGGATTGCCATTTCAAAGACTGTCTAGACTACAAAATGAGTTGCATGCCAACTTGGCAACTTAGGCATAAGAAGTTAATAAAGGTCTTGTGGATGTACCTCAGTGACAAAACACTTTTCCTAGCAAGTGCAAAGCCCTGGGTTTTTACTCCAAGTTTCTCCAAGTTTTACAACAACAACAACAATAATTATTATTATTATTTTTTATGACATGGAACTGATATTCTAGTATTTTCATTTGATACCTCATTGCCATGTATATTCTGCCTATAATACTAGGTGTCAGAACAACAAATTTGATAGTTAATGGGAGGAGAAGCATATTTAAGGCACTCCACTATAATCTGGCAAGTGTAATAACACAGACAATAATGGAAAATATCACAACTGAATCTTGAATATGAGTTTAGTTATGTAAATGAATTCATAGAATAGTAATTAGGAAAAAAGGGGGAAAAGTCATGGAAACGACCTATAAAGATCATTGCCTCTATAAAATTAACAGCATTTAAAAAGCCCTGATTGCTATGATTAAGTCTAATTTGAGGCTGTCTTCTTCCTAAAATCACCCTGCTCTTTCACTGATGGCAAACTCTAAAGGTAGATGTCTCTGAGATTTTAATAAGGCTAGTAGTAAGAAGCACATTATGTAGCCTTTTGAGGAGATTTAAAAATAATGTCCCTGAAAGCAAATACCTGTGGCTTGTGCATCTCTATTTTCCCTTTCCTATTATTTATTACATGATGTTCTTGCTAGCTGAACTGCATCCCTGAGCTACTCATATGGGGACATGCTTAATGTAGCTAAGGAAACATGCTTACAGAGATTGCAAAGCTCCGAGAAAACCATGCAGAAGGGTTTAGTGAATTGCTTTTTAAAATCACTTTAAATTAGTGATGAATGCTATGTTTTTGACAACTGGTTCAACATCAAGTATAGGCAGATAAAATCAACCTCTGGAGCATTAAATTGTGTTTGTACTTAAATTAAAAAACAAATGTGTTTTTGCCTGATTAGGAAGTTTAATATCTCTCACTGGCTTTAGTGTTGTGTGTGTGTGTGTGTGTGTGTGTGTGTGTTTATGCATTTGTGCACTCCATGTGGACAGTGTATGTTAATGAGTATGCTAGTGCATGCTAATGTATGTGGAGGTCAGAGAAAAATATTTGATTTCCTCTATTGCAATTTACCTTGGAGCCAGAAGCTAGCCTTTTTGAATAAGCTGGCCAGCAAGGTCTTAGGACCTTTTTCTGACTTCCGGGCACAGAAATACTCGTGCATGTATATGGATTTTTCTGTGAATTCTCAGGTTCCAAATGCAAGTCCTCATGCTTGCAAAGTGGCATTTTTATGCACCGAGTCATCTCCTCAGTCCCTCAGTGAGTATGTTAATTTCAAAAATCTTTTCTTTTACCTTAAATATTACAGAAAATAACTCATTTTAAGGAATGAAATGCTGGAAAATAAACATTGAAGTCAGAAATACACTTACAGGGGGAAATAAATGAGTGGTTATGGGTAGTTTTTCAAGCCGCAATGGCAGGTAATTCATTCATTATAGATTTAAAGTGGACTGTGCTATAGTTTCTTACTATGTGGGCATTTTTTGAGAGGGGCTCACAGAGCTCCACATTGAGTTGAAAAGTACTTGATAGCTGAGGACTTTGTGGGGGTGGAGATCCAGTATTCTTCAGGACTGAGGTTCCTGGAAGATAGCCTGTGTACCATTATAGTGCCTCTCACCCCTCCTAATGCTGCTACCCTTTAATACTGTTCCTCATTTTGTGGTGACCGCCCCCAGCCATAACATTATTTTGTTTCTGTTTCATAATTTTGCTACCATTATGAATTGTAAGTATCTGATACATGGGATATTTGATATATGGATCTCGAAAGGGCCATGACTCACAGTTTGAGAACTACACCTCCAGTAGTTGGTCATATACCCTGGTACTTACTAGCATGATTAATAACATTCAATGGGATGAAAATGAGAATACATAAAGTTTATAGAGAAACATAGTAAGGAGAATTTCTAATCTGAACAAGTTGGAGGGGGTAAAGGTGGGTGTATTTGATCAAAACATGTGGTACATATGTATGAAAATATGAAATAATAAATATATATGGTAAAATTCACACTGTTTATACATGTACTGCAATAGAATATTTAACTATAGAATTTAAAAAAATTACTAAAAATTTCTAAAAAAGAATACATTCATTATACTATTTAGCTATTAAAATTCAGCCAAACCTTGCAATTGTTTTCAAAAAGTACATCCTATAATATGATAAATTTAAAGTGAGTTGACAATTATGTTAAAGAGCAAGCCAGAGAAGGAATGAGACTAAATTTTTGTCTTCTATTATTTATTTTAAATGTTATCCAATATGGAAGGATTTTTTTCTATATTTCCCAACTTATTTCACTTGTACCCACTAAGACCCTACTACTCATAATAAAATAAGCAGCTAATACTTTGATTAAATTATTTTAAACATATATTATTTCTAAATTAAAAACCTATAAACAAAAAAAAATTCAAATTTACTTCCGGTAAAAACAAACCAAATGTTTTAAGGAAATCCTCATATTTTTTTCATTTAAAAGAATTAATATTCAATTATGTATGAGACGTAAATTTTTATTCATCTTCTAAGTACACATATTAATCATGAATATATGAACTACTGCAGCATGACCTGAAAAAGAATTAGGGGAAATTTAATGAAAAAGAGGCATGGGAAACACACAGCAAGGTTCTTTATTATGCAACAGCAAATATTTATTACAATTTGAAGTGCAGGCTTCCACTGGCAAAAAAAAAAAAAATCAGTAAATAATAACTGATTGCCTTTTCCGGCCTTAGTATACAAATAAAGAAATAAAAGATGGCAGTTTACAATTTCTATTCTCAAGTCACTTAGAGTCTGAAACATACATGCAAACAAAAAAATGCACAGATAATTTGTAAATAAACCTGCATAAATTCTATAAAGTAAAATCTGACCATTTTGTACTCCTAACTCACCTTTAAATCCTCTCAGCAATTTAGGTTTGGTACTGAACAACATGTCAGATGTTTAAGGAAAAGGAAACACAGCTCAATACCAATCCAGAGCTAACACATCCTGGCCAGCGTTGAGTAAGGCCTGGCTCCTTTTCTCACTTTCAGTATTCTCACTATGAACAAGTCCAACATATCTGTATAACATCTCATTACCTCTATTTATCTGAATGTCAAAGTTCTTCAGTCATGCCTATCTTTGAAATTCCCAGCTCCTCTATTGGAAAATCACAGTGCATTATCATAATCACACCTTATTATATTTAGAGGCATAGAAATTGAGGCTTTAGTAACACACATTTCTACTTTAAGTATGGACCTTTGAAGTTCACAAAATAAGATATAATTAATTTGGAGCTTATAAAGAGGGGGAGTTTCTTTCACTGTGAGCTGGGTGGGCTCATTTTCTTCCTTTGCATGTTTTTCTTTTAACTTAACTCAAACAGATTTTTGAAAATTTAAAATATGCTCAAATATAACATTTGGTATTAAAAATAGCAACAGCAAAAATATCCCATCTATACCTTAGAGCAGTGTATTCTCTGCCTTGTCTTCCATCCATTCTACATTTATACTTAATATCCCTGCATCGAATGATGGCACTGAAACACTGTGTAAGTTACTCCAGCCACAAACATTCAAATATATCCGTAAGTCTTGATAGTACTAAGGCAAGAAGTGAAAATAAGTACATTCTTTAATCAATAAGAAGACAGAGCATAAAACTAAAATAAGGCTTGAAAGAAAAAACACTGATTTTTGGATTAATTTTGAAAGTTCAAATTAGCAGACCCCTTGAACACTTGAATACCTAAACCGTCCTCATCCACCGAGATTTTGATATAGACACAAGATTCTATGACAGCTCTTTTCAGATAATAAACTTTTAGAAAAGTGCATTTTGCACCAACAACATACAAACTATATACACCATGATCACAATTCATGAGTGACTTATTTCCAAAAGTAGGCAATCTGGAACATGGAATGTATTTTACAATTGGAACAATGCTATAAAACTATGGTTAGTGCTCCACGACAGATGTCCAAACTCTGTGTATTAGAAAATATTCTTAATATATCACCCATATGTGATGAAGACTAAAATCATTATCTTTAAAACTGCTATTAGTAAAACAACACAACACTTACACAATTCCAACATCATAAGGGGGGTTTGCTTCCACAGATAGACTATATGGATCACTCACTCAAAGACAACACAGCTAAGAATTAGTGGAAAGTATTTGTATGAAAAGTCGAAAGAATGGTGAACAGGTGCAGAAAATTTCTCAAAGCGACTTCTGACAGCTCCATCTCTACCTCTCTGCTAAGAAGCACACTGGTTTATCTGGGCCGGTTCCACCTGGAAGAGAAAAAAAAAAAAGAAAGAAAAAAGAAGACAGGGTTAAAACAGCAGTTGCAACATGAGGTACAGTTAGATTGAACTGAAAGATAAACCCATACGATGAGGAGTTCAGCTAACCTTAGCTCCAGAGGCCTGCATAGTTGCCATGGAGGCCTGAGGCCAGTGGTCCCCCTCCCACGAACAGCTTCATCTCTGGCCAGTTGTAGCAGTGAGTGTAAAGGGCATTGGGGAAATCTTCCACACCAGCAACGTAATTCTCTAAGAGATCATCCTGGTTGATCCAGCCGCTGCCACAGGTGAGCTTGAGCTTCCTTCCAGAAGGCGCAGGAAACAAGTCTGGACCGATCGCAGACCTCTCCTCAAGGAACTTCTGGGCACGGATGTCATAGAAGAGCAGAGAACCATGGCCTGTTCCCACTGTGACGACATGCTGGTGGACACTCAGAGAACGGACGCCGGTGCCTCCCTCTCTGGAACACAGTGGTGGGATGTTTTGCTGGCCTTGGCGCAGATCCAGGAATGAAACGTGAGACTGGGATCCCACGGCATAGAGGGCCAACTCTTCACAGTAGGTGAGACACACGTTCTCCCGGCAGTAGGGCAGCCTCAGGGACAGCAGCCTGGACAGGGAGCTTCGGGCTTTCCACAGGTGGAAGTAGCCATCCAGAGACACGGCTCCCAGCTCCTGGTTTCTGTTGCTGAACGCAAGGGCTCGCACTTTGCGGTTACCTGGATTAGTAGTGGCTTTGGGGATGGCCTCCATATCTCTAGGACGGATGTGAGCATACACAGGAAGGCCTGCATCCTTGTGCCAAGCGATGCTGCCATTGAACATGTCGGGATCCACTCGCCAGAGAGCCACGGTACCGTCGCGGGAGCCACTCACAGCCACGGTGTCACTCATCCATGCGATGGCGAAGATCCAATCCCTGTGGCCTTGGCAATCTCCTAGGCACACAGGGTCCAGCGTGGGCAGCTGGTAGACAGCCAGGCTGTTGGGGTTTTCTCCTCCAGTGGCCATGAGGGTCTTGGAGGGATTCAGCTCCACAGCATGAATGCCACAGGAGGGCGAGCCCTGGGACAGGTCGGGCACCCTGTCGCGCATCAGAGGAATGCGCATTATGTGGTCGGTCTTGACATCCACCACGAAGAGCGTGTTGCACTTGGTGCCACACACCACCTGCCTGGCGTTGAGCCACTGCGACGCGAACACTTTGTTGAGGGGCCCGAGGGACAGCTGGCGCTCCCTCAGCAGCTCGGGCAGCCTGAGGACCCCGTAGCTGCGCAGATCGCCCTCGAAGCCGGCCAGCCCCGGGTGGCCGTCTGCGCCCAGAGTGCGGCCCTTCAGGTAGTGCACCAACGAGTGGCGAGCCACGGGCCGCCGCTGCCTCTTGGTCAGCAGCAACGGCCCCTCGGCTTGGCCTGCCTCGGCCATCGCCATTGCCGCAGACGGGCCTGGCGACGAAGAGGTCCCCGCGCCCTCCTGTACCTCGGTGGCTTTCCTCTTCCTGCTACCTGTTTGCTGAGGGGCCATGGTGGGCTCCGAGCGGTTGGAGGGCCCTGCTAGCTGTGGCGTCTCCTGCGCGGCTGGAGAGGGCGTTGCCTCGGAGTCGGCCTGCTGCATGGAATCGCTCGGAGATGGAGGCTAGGCGACCGATCGGCAGGGAGTCTGCGGAGTCCTGAGCGCGTTGGCGGCAAAGGAGGTGAACGCGGCGTGACCCGGCGATTCCGCGCGAGGTCGGGCGGAAAGAGCCGAGCGGACTCGGGAGGATCGGTGGTAGAGCCGAAGGTACGACGAGAGCTAGAGCGGAGACGCTGCGGCGAGCTAGCTCCGAGTGTGGACTTGTGGGCTGTGAGCGACAAGTCCGTGGAGGATAAGGACAGCAGGGCGGGAGGGGGAGGCTCCGAGGGTGGTGTTGGAAGAGGGGGCGGGACGGGATGACTATAAATGGCAGAAGTGATGGGAGGTGTGGAAGGGTGAGTATTAAGGCTGGGGGGGATCAAGGCAATCGTGGGTAGCTCATGCCCAGCCAGAAGGGGGCGGTAGGGAGTAGTACAGCCAAGAAGATGAAAGAGATCCAAAAGCTAGAAGGGAGTTTGGAGGAGGAGGGAGACATTACTCTAGGGCCAGTGATCCAGCACCCTCCGGCCTAACAAGTCAAACTCAGCCACCCCTTCCACAGCAGTCAAATATCTCCATAGCAATAAAGTCCGAAATCCAACATATTGTCAATCTTGGGATGAGACAGAGCCTTGGTCATTACTCTAGGTAGAAGAAAACAGAAGTGTTCTTCTAATCCAGGAGTGCTTTGAAAATAGCCATTCTTAAGCTTTTGAACAGCCCTTGTGCTAGTGGTAGCTTATTTTCAACGAATCATCTTTTCCTCCTCAGAAGTTTTGTGCTTCTGCAACAGAATCGTCTGAGGAAACCCTTTTCAAATAAAAGATCACTGAGCGTCAGATTCTGCCTGCCAATGGTGCCTAGGATTTGATGGTACATCATGGTCTTTAATGTCAAGTATGCTGTGCTAATTGGCTGGAAAGAAGTGAATTTAGGTATTTTGGAGATACTGTTGTTTCCTTTAGCTCAGAGAACTAAGGAAATGGGTTAGAGCACTGCAAATAAGAAGCTGAGGATGGAGGCTCCCATGCTCAGAATGAGAAGGATGGCCAGGTTTTTAAAGAACATGTGGAAGGATAGAGAATATTGTAGAAGGAAGCAAGCATGTGAACATAATGGAAAAACTATAGTGGTCTGGATCATAGATGTTCAGGGGTCAGAAAGGAAAGTTTCATATTTCTTTTTTTGTCTGTTTGTTCATTTGTGCTCCAAGACAATGCGTCTGATACTGACTCTGAATATATCTTAATCTTCCTTCACAACATAGTTTGTTGAGAATGGGGGCCATGAATCCATGAAGTTACTTGTCTGACTAACCACACAATTTAAGAAATATTTTATGGTGATTCCTCTCCAGATACCCTAATACATTTTGCTTATTTTATTTCTATTGCTTTTTTTATTTTATATAACCAAGTCCATTTAAATGAAAACAAACATTTATAGACAATATTTGGGAATTTGGGTGTTGTTGTTCTTTCCAAACTGCTTCCTCTGGTAAGGGGCACTGTCATGGGGGATTCCAAGAAGATTCAGAAATCCTGGCTGTAGTCTCTAAGGCTGCTTTCTCCAGCTGTTTTGAATGTAGGATCACCTTGCACTCTGTTTCAGGTGGTCTAGCTTGATCAAACCACATTAGTCTGGAAGGAATCCACATCTTTTCATTTTCTATGGAAACAAAAATAGAAATCCTTTTCCCCAGTAACTTGTCCTTGAACTTAAATTTTGGAGTCAAATCATTTTTTTAATATAATTTATTATTTTACATGTTGATCCCAGTTCCCTCTCCCTCCTACCCTACCTCCCAACCTCCCTCCCTCCCTCCTTCCCTCCCTTTAACCCTCTCTGCCCTCTCACATGCACTCTAAACACCCTCCCCTCCCATCCCCCCACCCCAATTCCATATGTAGGGGAATGTCATCCAGTTGGGGTCCTGTAGATCTGACAGGTCATGTGAAGTAGGGACTAGGGCTTCTCTCCTGTCTCTAGATTAAGGCAGTTATCCCTCCATGGGGGATGTGTTCGCAAAGTCCTTTATGTGCACCAGGGATACATCCTGGCTCCACTGTCTGAGGCCCCTTAGACTGCTCAGTCCTTCTGGCTGAGACCCATATTCAGAGGGGCCTGAGTCAGTCCCATGCTGGCTTCCCAGCTATCAGTCTGGTGGCCTGTTAGCTCCTCCTAGTTCATGTAAACTGTCTCTATGTGTTTCTCCTGCCTGGTCTTGTCCTCTCCATCTACATCTGAGTTCTACTTTGACTCAGTGTTTATGTATGGGTGTTTGCTCCTGTTTCCAACAGGCATTAGTTGAGGTCTCCATGGATAAGTTAGTTGTTGATCTCACTCTCTGGCATTTATGGTAGCTTTTCCACGGAAGCTCAAATTGTTATTTGGCAGCAGTCTTGTAGTTCTCTAGACCTTTCTTTGTCTTCAATTTTATCTTCAAACCAATATTGGCTCCCTCTTTTATGTTCTCTCTGTCTCTGTCTCTCTCTCTCTCATTCCTATCTTCTATTCCTAACCAGGCTCAATCTTCCTGGTCGCACATGTTTTCCTTTCCTCCCTCTCCTTTTCTCCTACTTCTCTCTCCATTCGCTGCCCCCCCTACTTCCCCTGGGCTCTGGGGGACTTGTCACCAGTTCTGTGAGGGGCTTTATATGAATCTCTTAGAATACACCTTTTATCCTAGTTCCTCTGGTGGTGTGAATTATAGGTTGGTGATCCTTTGATCTAGGTCTAAAATCCATATATGAGTGAGTACATACTGTGTTCCTCTTTTTGTGACCTCATTCAGGATGGTTTCTTCAAGTGTCATCCACTGAAATGTGAATTTCAAGATTCCATTGTTTTTTTTCTGCAGAGTAATATTCCATTGTGTAGATGTGCCACATCTTCATTAACCATTCTTCAATTGAGAGGCATCTAGGTTGCTTCCAGGTTCTTGCTCTTACAAATAGTGCTGCTATGAACATAGTTGAACAGATGTCTTTGTTGCATGGATGTGAATCCTTTGGGTATATGCCTAAGAGAGGGATTGCCGGGTCCTGTGGTAAACTAATTCCCATTTTCCTGAGGAACCGCCATACTGATCTCCGAAATGGCTGTATGAGTTTGCACTCCCACCAGCAGTGGAGGAGTGTTCCCCTTTCTTCACATGACCAAGTAGGCTTCATCCCTGGAATGCAGGGATGGTTTAACATATGAAAATCTATCAATGTGATCCACCATATAAACAAACAGAAAAAGAAAAACCATATGATTATCTCCCTAGAAGCAGAAAAAGCCTTCGACCACGTGGCCTCGCCTCACCCCGCATGGTTCTTCCCTCTGCTACACCAGCCACCTAGCCAGCTTCTGCCACCAACGGAACCTGTAATTTACCTTTTGCTTTTATTCTTTTATTTGCTTCATTCTTTATACTTTGACTCTAATTTTTTCACTATATCATACATAGCTTCACATTCTAGTCCTTCTCAATTTTACCCAGTCATGTTTAATATATCTGTACATTTAATTTAAATATAAGTGTACTAAGTCTCAAATATTTCTAAATTGTTATGTGCCTTCTAATGGTGGTAAACATTTAAGGTTATAAATGTCTATTTCAAGCTAACAAAATATTGATGCTACCCAGTCTTTCCTGTAAGCTGTTTATAAAGGTTAAGCCTCTATTATCAAAGGGGTTTTTTCTCTACCTCTTTGTCCTCTACAGGTATAAGTCTAACCTACTAAGTTAAAACCAGTTACAGTCAGGCTGCATGGCTCTGAGTAAAACATCCATCCACAGCCTCTCAGCTTGGATCCAGTTTTCTAAACAGATTAATTAATTACAGGATGAAGCCTTACCTAGCCACCTGTGTGCTTAAGGCAAGTAACTAAAGACAAATTTTGTATACCAAGGTATGCTAAACAGTCAGACAGCCCTCAAATGCTCAGAGATCTAGAGAATATGGCATTTAAAATGTATCATTAAAAAGTTTTTATAACAGAGAGACAGGCCAGCTGCTGGCACCACCCATTTCCTCCAAGAAGACTGATGGACACTGAAAGAAGCTCCACCCACAAAAGTGGCAATGCTAGCCACTGAGCAATCCTGCCTTTCATCTCAACTGCTGCAAAGGGCTCTAAGGACCTTGGACAAGAGGGCAGTGGAATCAACTTTCTCCATGTTGCTTGGGCCAATGGTAGGTAAGTCTTCCAAAAGCTCCTAATCAACAGGTCTCATGCCATCAGCAGAAAGCAGATGTCCTTAAAGCCTCTGACTTCAACAACTGTGGAGGACCTGAGGTGGCTGTCCATGCTGCCAGCTAATAAGTCTCTGTTACTCTCTAATCATTCAGGTAAAAGTTTATCCTTCTCAAGAACTCTGATGCTTTTGTCACTTTAAAGCAGCAGCCAAGGCTACAATTGTTTCAAAACAGATTTCAAAAATGGGTATTTTATAGTCTTAACATTAATCAATAAAATTTTAACAGTATTAAAGACCATACTATATGATCATAACTGTAACTGTAAGCTCACGATTAAGGTGCTTTTCATTGTGCTAAATATCTGCCAGTTGTGTTAATTCTTTCATCCAAATCATTTCTAACATGAGTATGCTGCTAATGTGCCTTAATATTTATGTTTTCACAAACTCAAAGATTCTTTTAAGTCCCATGGAGCTGAATTGGGTCCATTTACAGGTCAGATTCACTCCAAATAAAAATTACTCAACTTTTTCCTGGTCTTGGGACTTCCTTCCCTAGTCCCGGGACCCCCTTGGGATACCCTCCCCCACCTTACTTCTCCCATTAAGTACTAAGTCCTAAGAGAAAAAACCTAACCTTGTCCTCTGTTCTGCTAACATCTTGCCAGGTCTCAAAGAGATGCCAGAGCCCCATACTGTCAGAACTGTGATGAAACAACCAGCTAACAGGACGTGGCAGCACCCCAGTCTTCGCAGATCCCCCAAAGACTATCTACACCCCCAATTCAGCAGGAAGCAGTCTCCAGAACTCAAAGTCCTTATTCCCTAACCTGCCACGCCCAACCCCCACCTTTTTAATAACAATAAGAGGTGGTAATGTTAGGAACTAGCAGCCTGCTGACCACCCTCCTGCCCAGACGATGGGCGGGGC